TATTACTGTTAGCTTCAGCTTAAGTTATAGTGCAATGTTTGTACTAACACCATATTTATATAAAAATAAAGGCAATGAACAGTTACATCTCTACTTTACATAAGGGTGTCTGCACAATCTCACATTATAGCAAAAAAATCCTGCGGTGTTTGGCAAACCGAGTACCAGAAAATATACATTTAAAAAAAAAAAAAAAATTCATTGTAAGGACAGGGGGGTCAGAGGTCAGTGTTAGGGGGGCACTGCCCCCCCCCCCCTAGAACCGCCCCTGCAGTGTTTTAAACCAGCTAACACGTGACTTTATGTCAGATTCCTGTGTCTTACGTGGAGAAACGTGTGCAGTGGTTTGCACAAAGTGCCATGTTGATTTGCAAATAGTGTGAAAAGCTGAAAAACGTGTTAGAGTTTTGGAGATTTTAACCGATGTTTTGCTCTTTGAGTGTCAGTTAAAATAATTGTGCTTTATGTAGCATTTTAGTGTGTTAGCAACCGAGAAAAACTGTAACGTTAGCTGCGCTAGCAACGTTCCTCTGGCTAGCTCAAGCTCAGCTTTCCTAGAGGTATGGACAGAGGAGATGTGGCAGAGGAAACAAGAGGCATACTCGTGGATAGACTGCAAAGCTGGGAAACTGGGCTGCAATATTTTGGCTTTCCAAGTTAACATTGATTGATATGACTGCGAATAAATCAGCATATACTTCTGCCAGGGGATGCCACCCTCAAAATCTCCTGCCACCCTCTGCCACCCCATGAATATTTTTCTAGATCCACCCCTGAGTAGGCTATATTTTTCGTTTCCTTTATTTAATAAGTTAATTTCAGGACACCTTTAGGAATGTTGTTTGTTTGTTTTGAGATTTAAATAGATTTTGAAAGTGGAGATAGAGAGAGAGAAGCAGCGCTGTCTGCTTAGTTGCAATACTGTAGCTCAAGCCTTTATGCAATTTAGGCCTATACATTGTTTATGTTACTTATATGCCTGTGTGTCCATGGTTTTGAGTCTGTGTGTTGAGCGCAGCACCGTCTGCTTTTTGCAGTACAGTAACCAAAGTAGAACTAAGCATACCGGTGTTTTTTTGTAGACCTGTCTGCCCGAGTGCACTGCGCGCGTGCGCAATTGTGGCATTGTTTGGGATGACCTAATTAAAATAGTGTCCGCCGTCATCTTTGAGAAACATACACAACGCAGACAGACACCAGTCACAAAAGTATCAGATAGGCTTCAATTTACTTTTGATTGTCTATAATTAACTGTAAAAAAATATCGGCGTTTTAACACTACGTTTATATATGTACTTATTTTTACGGTTTGCATATGAGGTGGTCCGCGAAAATCCTTGATAATAAATAGTGGTCTGCATAAACTAAAAGTTTGAGAACCCCTGATCTAACCGACAGGTCCGCACGCACTCTCCAGCCCAAACTCTAATAAGCATTAATTCACAAACTAAATCAGGAGACCTTTAACGTTTTACGTCCGATTCGCTCCTTTTTTCCTCTCTGTACACAGCTCCAGTTTGATCATTGGCCTGTCATCAGATTGTATTTGTTGTTGCTGCTGTAGCGGAAGTTTAGTACAATTATTTTTGAGTAAATAATCCAAATCTCCACCCTCCATAATTGCACTTGCTTCAGTTGCTTGCTACTTTCTAACGGCGGTGAGAGTGGTGCAGTGACGCTATCTATCTTCTATCGATTAGATTTATGATTATAAAATTATAAAAGTAGGGTAGACATGTGGATATTATCCGACTGAACAAAACGTGCATTTATCTAACAGGTTCGTTTTCCACTGACCTTATTTCGAGCTATTTTCCAAAATCCTATGGAGAAATCGATAGTGACGGCTGTAACTACGGTTCTATGAGTCCCAGATTACCGCCAGAGGTGGTGCTTTAGCACTGGATATATCCATTGCACGCATGCACAGTTTGAGTACCTAATAACAACAAAGTCACCTGTGACCCACGTGACACCGGCTACATAGGACATGCATCCACAGTGACAGTCTCCCGGCAGTGACAGTCCCCCCACCGTGACAGAGAGGCACCACTGTGACACCCTGACTTCCCTGTGCCTGTGCCACTTGGCCTCCAAGTGGAGGCTGTTAAGCCACATCTGCATGGTGCGCAAAGACAGCAAGCCTAAGGGAACAATGGCTGAGGCAGCAGTCAGTGTGCCCAGGAGCCGGAGGAATTGGATGTAAGGCACCATCTTGCCCAGCCTGAAGATGGGAAGAAGGTGGGAAATGTCATCCACACGACGAGGTGTCAGGTAGGCCCTCATGACGACCAAATCTAGGACCATCCCCAGGTAAGTGACCTGTTGGGCACGGTCCAGACAACTCTTCTCGGTTTTCACTCTCAGGCCCAACCGGGCTACGTGAGACAAGAGGCGTGCCATATCCTGGGCCTTTGAGGCCGGGATGGCGCGCAGACTAGCCAGTCATCTAGATACGGCAGGGGAGAGGTGTGGCAGAGGAGAGGTGTCCGTTGGCTGCAGCCAAACGCTCCACCTCTGCAACTCTAGCTACTCTGAGCGCCCGAGGCATACAGCTACAGTTCATGCAGACGTTCTGCGTGAGACCCTCCCTCAAATGCTCGAGGCCAAGGCAAGAGGGGCAGCGGTCATGGCCGTCCTCTGGCTCAAGAGGAGCTACACAGGCAGTACATGAATGAGCCATTATGTAGGTGGCCAGATGCAGGGCAACCGGGAGCGGGTGCGAGGACACAGCCTTCACCAGCTACCTGCTGAACGGGAAGAGTAGAGCAATGCTCCTACTCGCCGAACACGACAAGGGATGTAAATGTCCTACACCCACGTTACCAGCAAAGGGAGCGGGGGCAAGAGCACTCTCTTCACCTAGCTGAAATAAAAATAAAATAAAGAAGCTCAACAGGTGAGTTTAGCCGGGCGGTTGCTGCTAACAATCAGGCAACACGCTCACCAGGAGCGGGGACGAAAACACTGCCTTCACTGGTTGGGATAATAACGAAGTTAAACGTAAACACAGGCTAAGACCAGAAACTGGCCTCTAAAGAAAAAACAGCACGGGTAATCCCGTCTTAATCCAGCGTCAGCCAAGTGGCTGTGCGACAGGACACAGTTAGGCTGAGCCACGCTACTGCTAACTAGTTAACCGAGGAAACACAGCTAAAGCTGGAAACTCAAAATGCTAATGGTAGCTTGGCACAACGACACGGTCAGAAAGAGTACAAAATAGCACAGCAAGGGAAACTCCTGGGAGAGGGAGCAGAAACGCTGCCGTCACCAAAAAAGTTAAAGCCAAATATTAAACAATAGTAAACTTAACACCTTCAAAAGGGCCCTCAAGACCCATCTGTTTACTAAGGCCTTTGGCCCCTAATCTATTTGTTGTTTTGTCTGTCTGACTGGTTGTCTGACTGCCTTTTGTTTTGTTATGTTTGTTTTGCCCTGTTCTTCTTTGTTAAGCGACCTTGGGTCTCATGAAAGGCGCTATATAAATCCAAGATATTATTATTATTAAAGCACCGCCTCTGGCGGTCAGTAGGGACGAAATAGAACCCATTGCTTTTTTGTCGAGGGAACCCGAGCGCAGCTTACTTCCGGGTTTTAGGACGCTTCACTGCAACACTAAATTGATGCGATTTGATTGGATTGTGAGGGAAGCCAGCCGCCTCTGGCTTCCTTTGGCATGGTTCTGACTAATCACAGGTTGGCAGGGGCATGACGTGAGCCTCATCTGATTGGTCAATCCCTCAATTTTTTTTCACCAAGGGAAGCCAATTTCGGCTGGCCTCCTCTCGCAACAATCTACTGTTTCACCATAACATCTAGAGGGGCGCTGTTTCACTCTTTGTAAAATACTCAATGAGAATGGGGGAGAGACAGGCCGGCAGCAACACACAGCAAAGGAGAATTTCCGAAACTAAACAAAGTGTTTTTATTTATTCATTAAAACTATAACTACAATCCGAAAAAACAGTGGAAGCCTGGCTTCCCTTGGCCTCCAGGAGAAAACGCCACTGGTTCTCAGAACATAATTTTAAACATTTTTAACATTTTCAACATCCTTATATTCTCCCAGCAACACACTGAACGTCAACTTTGCCTCCTTATTACACTCACCCCTACTTTAGTGGGAACATGAGTCTGCATCTTTGATGCACACAGGAATAAACGCAGATCATCCTCTGGCTGAAGCCTTGACCGGTACTTGCTTTTGATCAAAGTCAATGCGGAAAACCCACACTCACACAGGTAGGTGGAGGTGAAGGGAATGAACACTTTTACAGCCTTTTTGGCGAGGTGGGGGAACTCGGTCTCCACAGACAGCCAAAAGTGTGCAAGTGTCACTTAACTCGTCTTTTTCTCGTTATTTATTTTCTCACGCTGCACCTCCCCTGAAGCTCTCTGGCGCCCCCCAGGGGAGGGGCACCTCACACTTTGAAAACCGCTGCTATAGACTATAGTGTTAGGTCCAAACATACAGTCACACGTTTTGACCTGTGTGATTAGAAAATAGTCGTGGCCCAAATCAGTCAGTGGATCAACAGGAAATATATCAGCAACACATTTACAATTAATACTCTAAGTAATTTCAGTCAGTCAGAATCGTCTTGTGTCTAGCTTCTCATGTGCTATTCAAATGATGTTCCTTTGAATATTCTAGCAAAGATCCAGACTGATGGCCAACTGTGGTGGTGATCCAGTTTGTGAACTGGTTGGGCGAGATGTCCCTGTGTTTCATCAGGCTGTTCCATCTGAATGACAAACATGTGACAGTCAGCATTTGCATTCAGTAGGTTAAAACAACAAAAGATCAGACCAACTAATGAGAAGAGAACTTTGTGTTTTATGCATCGCACAACTTAAAAAATGTAATAAATATGAAATGTAATAAAGATTTGATTGGTTTGGTGCTGCAGCAGTGTTGTGTTGCAGGTAATCATACTATGTCCAAGAAGACAGAAAGACCACCATAATATTCCTGTGATTTGTCCCTTTTGTTCACACAGGTCAATGGGATTGACCTCCGAGGAGCCACTCATGAACAAGCAGCAGCGGCTCTGAAAGGGGCGGGGCAGGTGGTCACCATATTCGCCCAGTACAGACCAGAAGGTGAGTCAGGACCAACAGGAGCACACACACACACACACACACACACACACACACACACACACACACACACACACACACACACACACACACACACACACACACACACAATGGTGCTAAAGTCTCCTGTACCTGCTGAGTGATGTGGTTATTATCAAGCCAAGTCATGGATCACCTTGTATTGGTCATTTCAGTTTCCCTCTCATGGTAGATCATGTTCTCCTCTGGAGTGGATGTGAATCCTCTGCAGGTCTGATGAAGGATCTGTTTGATATTGAACACACAGTGCTTCTCCATGGGTTTGCCAATCATCTGTCACTTTGCCACAAGGCAAAAATAATTAAACTTTGACTGCAGAAAGACAACACTGCATTGTTAAACTAAATAAAAAGACAAATAATACAATAGCCTCCAAGAATAATATGATTCCTACACACTGTATATGTAGGATTGTGCCCCTCTCGAATAGGCAAGAGAAATGTGCTTCATATGGATTTTATATTCAAAATTGATTCTTTTATTCTAACGTTTGGATTTAAAACAAATAAGACGCCATGTTTGAAGGACTTTCTTGTCCTCCAGGGTAGTTCTGTGTTGTGACAGCGTCAGCAATGGGAGGGGAGGAATATGTGTGAGCTCGGAGCAAGGCCAGTCTTCACTTGGTGCCAAGTTTGATGCTAGCTCAATAATTGATGAGTGCCTGAGCCCAGCTCTGTGCATTTCCCTAGTTTGTTGAATGGGGGGCAGCAGTAGTTTTGTAAGCATGAGTCTGTAGACTCAGAGTAATCGAGAGCCCCCATCTCACTCCTCCAGCTCATGGCCTTGTTCCCGTCTGGAACTAACAACAGCTTTCTCTTCTTACCCATCAGACCTTGCTCTATGCTCCCCCCGACGGGCCCGCTCTCCTGTACCAGGTTCGTGCCCCTGCCCCCTGGCCCCTGTGTCTGCTCTGAGCTTTAGCATCATTCACTAGTGGAAGTCACTGAGTGAATGTGTGCATGGACAGACTGTTCACCCCTCTACACCAAGCGTTTGACCCTCTGAAGCACACCTGACCCCCCCCCCCCCAATAAATGCCCCCCCTCCACCCTGTCTGACTTTTTGAACCCTCTTGACTTTACCTTATGTACCGCTGCTCACAGGTAGTGACCCTTCAGACACTGCTAGCAGATATGTATATGCCAGGGTTTTTATCTTGTTAGCTCAGAGTGGAATGAGTGTAGCTGTAATGAATCCAAAACTAAACCAGATCCATTGCCTGACAGAACTCCTGTGTAGTTCTAATGGTAAATGTGATCCTTATCACATGTTTACATCACTTCCTTTGTAAAGAAACAACAAATGCTTTACAAGTGGTGAATTTCATCGTCCCTGTAAATGTTTCAGAAGAGAGAATTATTGAACAACTTTTCACTTAATATTGGATATATCTTTTTTTCAGAGTACGGGCGTTTTGAGGCCAAAATCCATGACCTGCGGGAACAGATGATGAACCACAGCATGAGCTCTGGGTCAGGGTCTCTGCGGACCAATCAAAAGAGGTCGCTTCATGTGAGGTTGGTCTTTTTAGGTATTCACCCTTATTTAGAAAGTTCAAGCTTAATTTAGATAAAAAAGGAGCCCATCCATTCAATCCCCAAATGTATTTTATGTGATACACTTCTTTATTTCAGGCTACATGGTAATATTAAAGATTTAAAAGGATTGTGTGAAAAACTGTGACAGGGGAGTCAACTGAATAAATGACAATCGCACGCACACATATATTATAAACCAGGTTTAAGATCTGTGCCTGCAACACAAGAACATTTCCTATTATAGAACCCCCCCATGGACCAGCAGTCACTGTTCTCTCTGACCTGGTAAAGATATGCTTCCAGTTCCCCACTACTCAATTAGGAAAGGCCTCACACGGAGGAGTGGAGGAATTCAGTGCATGGCAATACTAACCCAGATATCTTCCACTGGATAGGGCACTGTTTGACTATGAGAAGTCAAAGGACAGCGGCCTTCCCAGCCAGGGGCTCAGCTTCAAGTATGGGGACATCCTCCATGTCATCAACGCCTCCGATGATGAGTGGTGGCAGGCCCGCCGGGTCACCCCACATGGAGACAGTGAGGAAATGGGTGTCATCCCCAGCAAGAGACGGTGAGCACCGGATAGAAATCTGTCTCTGGTTGATGATTTTAAATGATTATATTGATTGTGCTAAAATAGGAACCCTTGCTAGTTAATGCGGTGACAATGACGCAAACCAAAGGGTAACCTTATTCCACACAGCTGTGCTCCGGTGGAGCCAGTACAAACATACAGGAATACATTTGATGCAAAGATATATAATACGACTCTGTTGTTCAATGTGGTGTCAGTGTGAGTCACATGACTTTGTCCCAGCAGGGTGGAAAGGAAAGAGCGAGCGCGGCTAAAGACGGTGAAGTTCAACGCCAAGCCAGGCTCATTTGATTCCAAAGGGGTGCGTACCTTTATGAGAGCTGCACAGCGGCAATTCATGTTCCCACATTGATGATAATTCATAGTGTCGTTCAGGTGTTGGTTCTGTTGTTCTGCCTGCACTACATGTCCATGCTTAAATCAGATGATATAGATTAGATATACATTCAAACCCTTCAGCCAGTTTCCTCTTTTGTTTGTGTAATTCATCAAAGAAAACATATTTCTAAATACCAATATCCTCTTTATGGTTGTATTGTATGCTTATTTATTACAGGTAAATGAGTCAGTGTCTTTTTAAAACGGCTGTAAGAGAAGAAGCTTTATAAGAGTCGGCTTTTCTGCTTCAGTTCATTTTACAAATATCTGTGTTACTGTATCTTTTCACACATATATAACTTTATTAAATATGCAAATATATTCTACCAGTTTTTGACATTACTACGTTTGAGCATGACTCTGTGCTAATATTACCCAGCAGCAGCCTTTTGTCTTCAAATGATGATTTCCACACACTATTTATTGTTTGAAGTTGAGTTCCATTCTTTCTTCCCATTAATGCATGTGTGTTTTATTTTCTATTGACAATCTTCTCTATGTCTAACCCCAGAAATGTTACTTCTCTCATGGCATGATTTCAACTCTTTTCTCACCTTGCTTTACTTTAAATGCATCTGATGCAACTGTGGCACAACAAAAAGTACTGGAGCAGATTAGAGTATCATTATATATAAGAGTTTATCTCTTCCAGTCCTGCTAGTTTCCTGATTTGGTTTCTGGACTGAAGATGTAATGCTCAACATGAGTTTGACTGACTTCCCCCATCCGCGGGTCCTGTCAGCTGAAAGAATAGCCAAAAATAAAAACAGAGTAAAGACACATTTCAACTTTGAATAGGTTTAAAAGAAAACTCATCATGGTTTCCATTTCAACAAGTTTCAATACAGAAATAGCATTTACTCTGGGCTAGACAAAATGAATCTTTCCATAATGTTACAAATATCTAAAAATAAAAGATTCATTTATGTTATATTTATTCATTAGCTACCTTACAAATTCAGCATTGACATTATTTTAATTGGATCGTGGAGAAAGAGTTTTAAGCTTCACTGTCAGAGCTTCTTGACGTCCCACAGTCTGCAGCTGTTATTTGTCTGCATGAACGTGACCCTGTGTGCTCCATGCTTTCTCTCCTCTCACAGTCATTCAATGACAAACGTAAAAAGAATTTCATCTTTACACGAAAGTTCCCATTCTACAAGAACAAAGAGGGTGAGCAGGATGGCAGTGATTCTGACAGTAAGTAAGCTCACAGCCAGACACACATAGAGCTTCCTCTCATCATCACTTCCTGTCCTTTGGGTCTCTTACTCTCTCTGTTGGACCCCACTCAGAGGCGTTCTGGCTCAGACTTTGGTCAGAGAGCAGGAGAGAGGCCAAATGTTCATTTTTTCGTGACAAGTGCCCATATGGTGATGTCATATATAAGTTGAATCTCAACCCGCCTACAGTATGTGTCATGATGTTGAGAGGGCCCCTGCTGGCGGCTCAATGTCAGTGCAGAGACAGATGCAGCTCCTCTCACTCAGCTTACGTTGTGGCTCTCCTCCTTCCTCTCTCTCTTCTGTTGTGGCTCTCTGTGGACGGCCGGTAGGACATCCTGGGGATAGGTGATGATGGGTATGGGACAAAGACATTCAGTAAGTGGGTCCGGGAATGATTCCTTATCTCTGTTTACTGCGACCCCCCCATGACAACACGTCACATTTCCTGTCTGTTCCTCTTGCCTGCTCTGTTGCATGCCGCCTCTGTGGGCTTCTCTTGCTCCTCAGTTTGCAGTGTAACCTCCATCAGTGGGGGGGCTGCTTCCACAAACTCAAGGTCTGGGAGGCCTCACTCAATGATGAATGTACTGGCCTCACAAAGTACTATGTGCATGCTAAATAGACTATAAATAAATATATATATATATAGGTTAACAGATATATATATATATATATATATATATATATATATATATATATATATATATATATATATATGTGCATGTTTGCATGCCACTGAAACAACTAAAGAAACAACTAACGTGGGTTTGTCTTTGCTGGTGAGCATGTCCGTTTAAAGCAACATTTGAAAGCTAATCACAACTACGTCTATTTTTGTTTTGTAGGTAATGTTTTAATGTGTTTCATTAAATGTTTTAGTTATCAAGGATACAGACATTTACTTTCATATTGATTCCTTTTTATTTTAATGTTACGTCTTTTGCAGCTCTTACTTTATACAAAGTAAGATACCAGTTCCTAGATTGTTGTTCTTCATACAATTCCTATACAGCATTTCTCCTTGTAACCATATTGACTGCAATCGACAACATAATGACAGAGCTACAGAAACACACTTTTTCTACAAAAACGATTGGCTGAATGTGTGTACAATGAAGTTACACAAACAGCAGTTAACTGTTCATAATCAGGATAATAAGTCATATATCACATTGTATCGTGTTTCCTGAGCTCCTGCATGTAATCAATCGGGAAGCTGGAGCAGTGAGAGACACTATACTTAGTAGAAATGTGACTATTTCTTTAGTTTCTTTCAGTTAATATGCTATTCATGTATTAAGCATGAGCTGTTTACCTGCAGTGTTATGTCCTCAGGGCCAGACAACCTGTGTGTAGGTCATCAGTAAGACAGACCAAACCTAATCGGGACATGTTCAGTGACTTGTGCTGTCTTTCTGTCAAATACGGCATGTTGTTTAGTTCAGTAATAAGATTTTGTCTAAATACCCAACCCAGTCTCACGGCATTTCGTGTTCACCAACACGATTTTTAATCTATTGATTCGTGTTCACCAACACGATTTGCCCCTTTTTCTCGTGGTGCACAGCACAATTTTAAAAGCAATGTATTTCTACTGCCTGCAGCACGTCTTTTTCTCCGTTCGGGTCGAGGAAGACCGGAAGCTGTGTGGTTCATAAAAACATGTTCTTACTCAATATCAAGCCACAGTTATTGCTTTTATTTTAAATCGTATAATTTCTGACTTTTGTTGCCGTCTGTGAGGAAAATAAATGGGGCTCAGAGCCTCAGGATACTGAAATCTGTATTTTTTAAATCTTTTTTCCTTCTAATTTGTTATTCTTTTCAAAATAACACACTGTTATTTACTCACCAATAACACACATTTATCCTTGCTTTTATTTATTGGTTTAATTCCATAATCTCTGGCTTTTTTGGCGTCCGTCAGGAACTGAATTTCAAAATAAAAATAACCGGAAACAGACGTAGGCATTTCGAGCGATTACCCAAGATCCTCAGCTATGGTTTTAAACTCGCTTATTGGATGTTTTAGCCGCAATGCATGCTGGGATTTGGTGTTTATATGATATGAAATCCGGAAAACATTTTAAAAGAATAAAATAATACTTAATTCCGAGCGCTCTTGCTTTTCTCTTTGAAAGTCATCACATAACGGCATTGTAATACACGGTTCGGCTGCATTGTATATTACAGATCTGCCGTAGTTCTTTATTTATAGAGCCCTGATGAGAAGACCTTTGGAAAAACTGAGAAAATGCCGCCGAAACTGAATACTTGACGTGGATCATAAATATATTCAACAATTAAACAACATCTTCAATTTCTCTTCACACAATACGTCTCCTTGCAGTATCAACACTAATTCGGCTGACTTTTACATTTGATCTAATTCACAGATAGGTTATATTTACACCATAACGGTGCACAGCTGATATAAAAGGACTGTAGTTTTTAAAGATATTACTGATTTTCTTTGAATGTAAGAATGTAAATACTGAGTCTGAAATAGTATAGCAATATGCTGTAAAATTATGTGAAAGCATGCATAAAACTACACATTTTCAGATGTTGTACGAAACAAAAGTGTCCTACACTAATAATACAAAGTTATTATGGCTGTGTGTACCTTGTGTGCACCGCCTAGTGGTTAAAGCACGTTATTGAATTATTGTGTTTTATTTGATTAAAAAAATATTAAGAGTACATACTTTCATAGGGGGAAAGTATAAATATAGAATATAAAAAATAAAAAATAAAGAAGATACTATAAAGTGATCTCTACAATAAAACAGTTTAGTGCAGAATGTACAAAGATATTAATAGGAGGAGGAGCAAAACAGAAAAACGAATGAACCTTTATTTAAACATTAAATAACAGATTAAGGTCTTCTTTTAAATAAGAAAAAAACTTTGGGGGTATCTATCTACAGATAAATATTAAGCCTGACAAAGTACTTAACGTCTAATATATTGCTTTCCTGCAATGTTAACTATGTTGAAGCACTTATTTTAACTGATATTATACATATGAATTATACTCTTATGTATGTAGATAGAATAATAAATGTGCAGAATATGACAGTTTAATGGTGGAGGTACACACATATTGATAGATGTCTTGTAATGCACTGTTGAGGAACCTGTGACCCAAGTGTTTCATTCATTGCATAACTACACCGTAGTTGTGTATATGATATGTCAATACACCTTTGAAAATCTTGAAAGGGATGTGCAAAATAGCCATAATATACAGTCTTTAATGAACTATTAGTAGAGAATAACGAGTAATGAATATACTTTATTACTCGTTTCCATTCATGTCAATTGCAGATACATGTTTAGTCTTCTCAAGCACCAACTATCAAATATCTCTCCTGATTGTTGGCACTTGACAATCACCTTACCTGAATTTTACTCAGGTGTAACTAAAGTCTGATTTAAGGGTTGTTTATATTTCACATAATTAATCAGAATCTGCAAAGTAACTCAAATAAATGCAGTGGAGTAAAAATACCAGGTTAACCTCTGAATTGTAGTGGAGTAGAATTACAAAGTAACAATGAGCTGTCATGTGGGTATTAATGCTGCGCATTATGGACACAAGCGATTTTCACCCATTTATTAATTATATGTTTTACATTTGATAACACCAATGTGTTTAATACTGGCAACTTCTAATTGTGGGAAAAACGAAAACGTTCAGTAGAGACGTCCCATAGAACATCTTGTGAAACACAATAGCCAGCATGTGTAGTTCTGGGGGGGCGTTCGATTCCAGTTTTGGATAGTCTGGCGTTGTTTCGTTCCATTTCACACAGCTGTTTGACGCTCTGCGTAACCTTACGGGGACTGTAGTCCTAAACGATAGCTGGGGATTATGGGTAGTGTAGTGTCTTCGGCCATCCTAAATTCAGAAATGTTGACAATCGCAATGATGCTCGAAATGTCCCTTATAAGCCTACGTCTGTTTCCGGTTATTTTTATTTTGAAATTCAGTTCCTGACGGATGCCAAAAAAGCCCGAGATTATGGAATCAAACCAATAAATAAAAGCAAGGATAATTGTGTGTTATTGGTGAGTAAATAACAGTGTGTTATTTTGAAAAGAATATCGAATTAGAAGGAAAAAAATATTTTAAAATACAGATTTCCGTATCCTGAGGCTCTGAGCCCCATTTATTTTCCTCACAGACGGCAACAAAAGTCTGAAATTATACGATTTCAAATAAAAGCAATAACTGTGGCTTGATATTGAGTAAGAACATGTTTTTATGAACCACACAGCTTCCGGTCTTCCTCGACCCGACCGGAGAAAAAGACGTGCTGCAGGCAGTAGAAATACATTGCTTTTAAAATCGTGCTGTGAACACGAGAAAAAGGGGCAAATCGTGTTGGTGAACACGAATCAATAGATTAAAAATCGTGTTGGTGAACACGAAATGCCGTGAGACTGGGTTGAAATACCATAATAACATGTTTCCCTATGAACTCCTTCCAGGGAGTCAAGAGGATGTGATTCTTTCATATGAACCTGTGATCCGGCAAGAAAGTGAGTAGTCATTTATGTGTGTCATCAAAGCCAATGTATCTGAACATGTGACTCGGTATAGTCAGGGCCGCCTTAATGCACGGGCTGACCTGGGCTGAAGCCCAGGGGCCTACGGAGATCAGGGGCCTATCATGAGCCAATAAAAAAGTTTTTTTTAAAAGTTTTTTATTTCGGATGTTTTTAAAAAACATTTAAAAAACAAAGTCTTGGCTTTCAGAATATGAAACTTTTATTTCCAAAATCACACGATAAATACATTTTGAAGCTTGTAAAGGGAAGAAGACAGCTCTCACTCGCCACTCTGCTCTCCCACAGCGCCGCTTCCCCTCCCTCCGCTGACATTATGAATGTAAGGCGTATAGTAATCATAGATAACACGGCAGGGTCCGTTACAGTTTGTTTTCATCTGGTTTCAAATAAACAAAGTCTTGGCTTTCAGAATATTAAACTTGTTTCGGCAAATTCAGATGATAAATACAGCTTTGAATCTTGTAACGGCATAATTACAAGCGGAGAACGGAGTAACTTGACGTCACAGCAGGCATAACAACAGCCGGTGTTTCTCGTGAGGGTTTTCCCCGGGAAACAAACACAATACACACAAACGCAAAAATACACAAACACACACACGTATACACACACACACACACACTCGCGACACACACACTCGCGACACACACACGCTTGCGAGCTTCCCCCAGACCAGTAATCCAAACGAAAATATATTCCCTCCGTAGTATTTTGATCATTTGCTCCGCTAATCAATCAGATCGATGGATTCCAGAGATTTTTCTCAAAAATGATGACTCCGAAACAGTCAGCACCACTTAACAGCCAATCAGAATGAGAATATGTTTCACATGTGACTTATTCAAATTGCGAGCGATTGAGTGACAGATGAAGGTTGTTTAGGAGAATATGTAGGAGAAGAAAAAGTTTGAGAGTGGCGCTTGGGAAAGGAAATTGTTGAGGGAAAAGGAGTTTCGAGACAAGCTATTACAAAAAATGCCGAAGTTTACAGGTTATTTTAAACCTGTAGGCCAGGATGAGGAGGAAGGACAGATGAGTTCTGTACGAGCGTTAGCGGTGCCGGCCTCGGAGCCAAGTAGGCCGTCTGGTTCTGATAGTGATGGAGTATCGGGAGAGGAAAAACAGACAGGAGGGATGTTGGAGGAGATGGAGAGGACGACGAGGACTTGCTACGTGGAGGGGAGCCAACGGCAACCGGACAAATACACGAGGGAGGCACAATACGTCACTCATCTGGAGGAGAGGACCAGGCGCGTATAGAGCAGAGTGGAGAAGTGCGATCACAGAGCCTGCCGAGGCTATAAATGACTTTGATTTGTTGTTTAAATAGGGGGCCTACAAAACCTATCAGCCCCAGGGCCTGATGGCAGGTTAAGGCGGGCCTGGGTATAGTAGTAATACTCTGAAACAGATCTGCACTCCTGGTAGAACATGAGAATGTGGGAAACATTCAAAGCTCATGAACAACCAAACTGAGGGAAGGGGGAGGTAGGTCTGAGAGATGTAGGGACATAGAGGGGGAGGGGGGGCATGCCCCGACCAGGAGGCTTAACTTAGTGAAAAGACAGCCACAATGAAAACACACAGTTAAGTTACTATGCTTTGCTTAATAACTGTGTTATATATATCTATAGTTGGTGTGTTTCAATGTTGTATATACATTTGTGTTTAAACTGTGTTAGACAAATGTAGTCTTTCTTGTATAAGTGTAACTGTTACTGTAACTGTAGCCAGTTTCCAAACAGCACACAGAAGACAGCACTAGAGAAAAGTGATGGTAGTCTGCTTTAAAAGCTTCTAAAGATATTGGTATATATAGTAGTATATTCAATTTAAATATAATAGATACTTAATTATATAATGAACTGTTTGAAGTGAGCTTGTATCACTCATGGAGCTTTGTTCAGGAGCCAGAGCAGTGTCAGCAGGAATCACTATTCACACAAACAAGAACTAAAGCCTACAACTATGAAAAATAACCTTTATACAGTATGGTGTATTTTCATTCTTAAAAAACGATCAACGATGCTTGAAGGATGCTGTCAACATTTGTGTTTTCTTCCAGTTAATTATGCCAGACCCGTCATCATCCTGGGACCGATGAAGGACAGAATCAACGATGACCTGATTTCAGAATTCCCTGACAAGTTTGGATCTTGTGTTCCACGTAAGCAATCAAGTAAAACTACTGTCCATGGATAACAGTTCATCTAAAGTATGTGAAGTTACAGGCTGTATTCATGCTAACACATGAATACAGCATGGCATGATGTGTGTGAGTTCCCCTGAACTCCTGACTGTGTGTGAGTTCCCCTGCTCTCCTCACTCTGTGTGAGTTCCCCTGCTCTCCTGACTCTGTGTGAGTTCCCCTGCTCTCCTGACTCTGTGTGAGTTCCCCTGCTCTCCTGACTGTGTGTGAGTTCCCCTGCTCTCCTGACTCTGTGTGAGTTCCCTTGCTCTCCTGACTCTGTGTGAGTTCCCCTGCTCTCCTGACTCTGTGTGAGTTCCCCTGCTCTCCTGACTCTGTGTGAGTTCCCCTGCTCTCCTGACTCTGTGTGAGTTCCCCTGCTCTCCTGACTCTGTGTGAGTTCCCCTGCTCTCCTGACTCTGTGTGAGTTCCCCTGCTCTCCTGACTGTGTGTGAGTTCCCCTGCTCTCCTGACTGTGTGTGAGTTCCCCTGCTCTCCTGACTGTGTGTGAGTTCCCCTGCTCTCCTGACTCTGTGTGAGTTCCCCTGCTCTCCTGACTCTGTGTGAGTTCCCCTGCTCTCCTGACTCTGTGTGAGTTCCCCTGCTCTCCTGACTGTGTGTGAGTTCCCCTGCTCTCCTGACTGTGTGTGAGTTCCCCTGCTCTCCTGACTCTGTGTGAGTTCCCCTGCTCTCCTGACTCTGTGTGAGTTCCCCTGCTCTCCTGACTCTGTGTGAGTTTCCCCTGCTCTCCTGACTCTGTGTGAGTTCCCCTGCTCTCCTGACTCTGTGTGAGTTCCCCTGCTCTCCTGACTCTGTGTGAGTTCCCCTGCTCTCCTGACTCTGTGTGAGTTCCCCTGCTCTCCTGACTCTGTGTGAGTTCCCCTGCTCTCCTGACTCTGTGTGAGTTCCCCTGCTCTCCTGACTCTGTGTGAGTTCCCTTGCTCTCCTGACTCTGTGATGCTGTTTCAGTGCAAAACATTCACAATACATTATTAAAAACAAAGTGTCACACCTGTTTTGTCTCAACAGATTTCCTCTCTGCATGTTTTAACTTTGTGTGTTGCATGTTCTAATTGCCTCATCTCTTGTACTTGAATATACCTTTCAAACCATATAAAGCTGCTAACGCTTCCGGGCACCAAGGTGAGTGGATCCTGAGCCCTGTCAATCCTTTGTTTAGAAAGTGAGTCCTGTGGAAAGGGTTCCCCTTTGTTTCCTGTGGGATTGCTGTTTGTGCAATGTCATGTCATGTCTTGGCAATTGTATGTTAACAATGTGCAATAAGGAATTGCCTCTCTTCCAAACTCTAAGAACATTCAAATTGTTATAGAACATACATGAACAAACCACACAAGTTAAGTTGACTTAGTAACAAAGTCAAAACATAGATTGTGACATTTATTGTCCCTCATTTTCTCCCTTGTATACATTTCATAAAAAAGCCTTTAGCATGTGAGTTGATATATTTAAAGGTACATGTGAACAGGTCAGCGTGGACAGCATTAGTTACAGCACAGAGCGCTCTTTACGAGTGAGTGCAATTAGAGAGAGAAGGGCCGACAAGTTGATTGCACCACGTTAAAGATTTGCAATGCCATGGCTCAATATTAAGATGATTTTGCTAAAGGTGGATGCGGCCTGTGCTCTTAAGAGATTTCAGAATGACACTTTTCCTAGAGCAAGTTTGAAACAATAACTAATAGTGCAGATTCATTGAATTGTAAAGAATGATGTTACAATGTGCCGTACAGCCTCTGAATGTGGTGATAAAACAAGGTGTCAAACTAAAGTCACTTCAAAGATGTATTTATATAAATGTTTTCGAACACATTGCAACACAATGTGCTTTACATAAAGATAGACTATCTAGCCATAGTGCAATGCAAACATCCGGCTTAATATGATGTCAACAGGTGTTTGTACAATTAGTTTGTAAAGTGTTTAATTGTACAAAGAATCAATGCACAACATGTCAATCAAAACACACACACACACACACACACACACACATTAGTGACTTAGTCATAAGCCTGCTTTATATGAGTATTATTTGATAAGCAGGACACAGAGGGCAGCTCTGCTTACAGTCAGTGTGGAGATGGTTAAAGAACACTGCATTACAATTGCAATGTGTTTTATAGACATTTAGCAAGTGTCAGCTAATCTTGTTAAGGTATGATAGTTCCTAGGTGATGAAGAGCTTGTGTCCTCGTCCACAGATACCACTCGGCCGAAGAGGGACTACGAGGTGGACGGCAGAGACTACCACTTTGTGATGTCCAGAGAGCAGATGGAGAAGGACATCCAGGAGCACAAGTTCATCGAGGCGGGGCAGTACAACGATAATCTGTACGGGACCAGCGTCCAGTCTGTCAAATATGTGGCTGAAAGGGTGAGACTCAGTGTCTGTTAATATTAGCTGCACCATAAGAAGCAACATGTAAATATATCCAATTATTTCAGGGTAAGGCCAGTATACTGTACACTTCCTGGTTGTCACTCTGGCTACTCTGTGACATGTGGATCTATTTTACAAGATGCATTTTATGGCACTGTTTTACACCATATCAGATTTATTGAAATCCTTGCAGCTTTGAGGGTAAAACGTGATAATCTGAGTGATTTTAAGTGGTACATTTCTTATGACTCTGTTAGGGTAAACACTGCATTCTGGATGTATCTGGAAACGCCATCAAGCGACTACAAGTAGCACAACTCTATCCCATCGCCATCTTCATAAAACCTAAGTCTATTGATACATTAATGTGAGTATTCATCTTTTATTATTATGTTTTTCATGAAAGTTACTACAATCTTTTTCATAAAACTGAAAGACTAAATGGAATTTGCTAACACTTTTTTTATTAATTCACCTTAGTATCATGTATTTATACACGCTGAAATACTGAGCATTAATGCACTTTAACACAAAGATGTTCTTATACACTATCTGCTTTCAGATAGATATAGAATGTTATAAAGCATCCTTTCAAAGTGTGAATACTGCCTATAATTGCTAAATCAGGGGAAAGTCTGCATGTTTTCCAGTTGCTGTATGAGGTTCTTATCCACGGTCAGTGTGTCAGCAGGGGGTCAGAACAGAAGTAATGTCAGTGAGTGAGAGCCCAGATCATGGCTTCAGCTCTCAGTTAGAAACATAGACAGTATAGCAGTCTCACAACCAGATGAAGCAGTGACAATATAGATATAGCATATACTGAAAAGTAGATGAGTTCAGGTTGACTGAAATATGGTCTGCTGCCGCCCGTCCACAGCAGCACATGTAAAAGACAAATCATGTGTGGGATTTTCTTTGCCTGGCACAGGGACATGAACAAGAGACTGACAGAGGACCAGGCCAGGAAGACGTTTGACAGAGCTTTGAAGCTGGAGCAGGAGTTTGGTGAATTCTTCACAGGTAAATAAAAGCACATCACTCAGTGAAGCATCTATATTCAGCTTGTCCCTCACAGTGTATGAGGAGGCAAAACTGCTGACTCACAGGCTTTCCTTCAAACGTGAGAGTTGCATCAGGCAGAGGCCTGAAATATCAGGATCCTCTCACTTATCAGCTAAGATTAACTTCTACAATTATAAAGGGAACGACATTGTGTGATCAGTTGTCTTAGATTATTGCAATCATTTTGAATTTCAGCCTGGACAGACATGTATTGTATTAGTGGTATGATTGCATTTCTGAACTTAAAAAAAGGTGTCAGTGAGACAGGAATGTTTTTATTTGATGTGCCTGTTCTCCACAAGTTCCATCGTACATAAAGAGTTCCCTTTGCTTTGCAGCCCTGGTTCAAGGAGACACCTTAGAGGACATTTATAACCACTGCAAACAGGTCATAGAAGAACATTCAGGACCCTATATCTGGATCCCCTCAAAGGAGAAACTATAATAACTCCTCAGCCTGGAAGGGAGTCTGGACTGTTAGGATTTAGTAATAAGTTGTAACATATGATAACTTCATGGCGATGAATTGTCTTCATAAATTAGTATTGTGTATATGTTACATGTACTATTTTGTTTTTTTCACTCATTTTAGTTTATTGCTTCATTTTTCACTCAACTTGAATGCTCCTGAATGTATTCCACTAATAGTTTTGTCTTGAAATATGAACTGTTAACATATTTCTTGAGTTTTATTTAAACTAAAAGTAAGGAATAAATATGGTGATTTGTCCACATCAGCACTGTGTGGACATTCAGACAGGAAGTTGGAGCTGGCACACACAGTGCACATGTCAGGACTTGGACAATATAGAAACAAGTGTTCCCACTGCGACGCCCACCCCCCCTCCACACTGCAGCAACTAGCAGATAATAATCATATATAGTTTGATGTTTTGTCTCTGATTTGCATCGATGCATCCCCTGAAGACAGCTTGACTTTGTGTTTGTTTACATTGTTGTTTCTTCTTTGAATGACTGTATTTATTTCTCTGACATGACATTGAGTATGAGTGAGGAAAATGTTGTATTCACTGTAAGACTTTCATGTTTCTTTATTTAGAAGCCTACAATACTCACCATGCTGTTGCATTGACAATGATTAAAGGGAGGAAGCTACCTTTGGCGCCTGAGATCGAACACTATATGTTGCTACTTAAATTGGGCACAAAAGCACACAATTATTTATTGTTGAAAATATAACTTTGATTAAAAGGTAATTCAAAGAGCATACTTTTTATGTTGTGACTGTTTAGGATAAATGGAAATATCAGTTGATGCTTACAGTATTTTGAAGGCATGGAATGAAAAGGTTAAATAGTACCTACATTTAATATCCAAACACGTTTTTGTCTTTTGAAAACAAAAGCAGGATGATAACGAATAAGAAAGAAAATAAAGGACCAACACTTTTAGCATGAACTGAATCAAAGATGGCAGTACATTAAGTAGAGTTAAAACATACAGATGTTGATATTCTGAAGCAACACGATGAGCTCATTGAGGATTTGAGAAACTCAACAGGTGAGTTGTTCAACTTGTCTCTGAAGAGGAGCAGACAGCTTTAGAAGCTCCGTAACCCCCACAGTACAGCGCCCCGGATCCTATACTTTTCTATATAATATCTCCACTTCTGACAGAAGACTTGTGTTACGCAAACGGATGAAGCCTACATTATTATGAGTTTCAGAATATATTTGCATTATGATGACATTGGACTTTATCCCTGATCAATGAAAGGATCTAAATGTCCAGTAATGACAGGAGGAATTAGTACAGCTGTAGCAAGCTGTTCAAAATGGGCACCCGACTATCGTCTTAAGACAAGCATGAACTAATTGGGAACATTTCCTTTAATTGTTGTTGTAAAAATATAAACATTAAGCATAATAATGTTGGACACAGTTGTTCTAATCATGTGCCACATTGACCTGTCAGTGGACCCTAAGAGCCCCCCTCAAACAGAGAGCTGCTTCATATCTACCACCATCGCTGACCATACTCAAGTCATCTTACCTAGGAGGGCCTTCATAGCTGGATGAATCATAATGGAACAACCTTTTTAAGAGTTCAAACTAATATTGAAATACTCTGCAGAACACCTGACGGAAAACAAGGACTGCCCTGAATACATCTCAGATGTATTTCTGTTTGTTTTAGTTGTGGATAAGCCCTGATGTCCTGAGCAGACGATACACTCAACCCACTATATATCGTTTTATATACAGTTTACTCACCAGTGGCTTGCCTTGTTTGAAAGGGCATATTGTAGCCTAATATAGTACCTTGCTTTGTTCAATATACAAATAAATGTTGTACTTAAAGCACTTGGAATGACTAATGCATCTACCGGTGTGATATCCTCCTGTTCTGTTCAACTGCAACGTTGGTGAGATTCCCATGACAACAGTTTGTGAGTGATATTCTCTTTATTCTAATCTGTTTGATTTAGACAGCATGTTCAACCCAACCTGTTACCAAGTACATAGAGTAGTTACATTGAATGCAGGTATGTTTCTAGGTAATGGGACTTTTCAAAAGTGCACTTATTCATTGTTTTTGGTAAAGGAGATAGGCACTGTATGATAACAGTAATACATCTAAATGTTAAAGCAAATCTAATTCAAATCCACTGATTATGATGTGAGAGGGAAGAGTGACATGTGATGACACCAAACCTGTTAGTATGGACTGTTTCTGAAGTCCAATGATAAGCTCTCAAGTCATTCTTAGAAGTGTGAACTTTGAAGATAAAAATGCTGATTTATGTAAAAGAAGGATCCTTTTTCTCTTGTCCCTTTTCATGAATTGGGATGAGATTTGCAGCTGATGGAAGAACAAACCTGTTCAGCTTTGATATGAAGATCCACATCAATAGCCTTTTATTTTGTTTTTGCAATATGTTTCAAAATATCAGCAATCATTCTTTTGCAAATGCTCCATAATGTAATGGTCACCACTTGCCTTAACTGAGTAGGTTTACTTTATATCATATAAACGCTTAGTAATGTCATATTTATTTGGTAATAGAACATTTGATTGAATCCTCTTTCACAACCAAACTCAAACCAGATGTAAGGTGCCATGCCTGATAAAGTAACGTGAAGGAGGTATATTTTATACTTGATTTCATTAAAAAAAATTGCATTTATGTAGCAACAATTTAAATTGTTAATGCTGAGACACCTACATATTTAGATCTTTGTACTTGGCCAGCAAACAAAGATGGATGTTCAAACACTTGAAATGAAAAGGATGTCTGATTGATGCATGTTGCCAGTCCTCTGATTCTGAGCAACGTTCAACACAACTGCAGCGCTGAGGTTCTGTCTGTGTTGGAAGACTGATCAGAGTTCAGCAATTAATCCTGCAATCAGACTTATGTCTTCTTTCATTTCAAAAAACAAACAACCCAGGGCTGTCCAAACAATATCTTTGGTCAACACATTTAGCATATCCCCTTTCAGTGATTTCAGAAGTAAACCCAAATGCACCATTTATAATTAAAGTCTATGATTTAGCTATTGTTGACATGATTAGCGTCATACAATATCAGTTCAATCAAAAGTATTTTAACTACATGTTGAGCATGTCAGTGTTTTCTACCCAAGTCCACATGCATACATTGTTTCCAGATTCAGGGGCTGCATCTTTGGAAGGACGTTACCCATGAAGCTTTGTCCTTCAGTGTTGGGGACCTTAGGTGATCCTTATCAACTTATTGAGTCTTAGATACACAGTTTACTAGCAGGAAGTTTCCTGTAAACCACAAAGTGCTAATCGCACTGTGGGATGGAAACAAGTTTGGTGATATTCAGTTGGAGCGGTGGCTGAGTTCATGCATGGCTTCCATTGTACAGAATGCACCCCTCATGGCTTCTCCAGCGATGCCCTCAGCAGTAAGTGATGTCACAACATGACTGACGGAACGCTCCACTAAACTAAACTGCCCTGCTTCCAGCACTGACAATTACTTTGGGATTGTTCCCTGAATTCAGACACAATTTACATGGTTTTCAACCTGTTTTGTGTTATACCATTTTTTGTAGAATTATTTTCTGCAATATGGCATAATGCCCATTTTTGGTAAGAAATTATTACTTAAGCTTATCACCTCATGTGTAATTGGATAAAGGAAGGGGAGAATAATTGGCAAGGAAAAAAAAATCATAATGGTTTTGGTTGTGCTGTATCCAAGAGAACAATTATTCCAATCTCAAAATAAAATGTAATTTTGTCTTCAGAAAAGCACCCTTGTGTTTCTATTTGAGAATGCACCCAGTGCATATAAGTTTGGACCTTTATTTGCTGTATATGTATATTTGAAACTTTTTGCTTTTCTTCTTGTGTCATCAGAGGCTTCACATTACACTGCTCTGTATACCCTGCTGGAGGAGCTGCTTGCAGAAGGTTTCAATTTGAAAACGCATTTCATCATTTTGTATGTGACATTTGGTGACATTTGATGTTTTGCTCTGGTCATTTAAAAATAATATTTACACAAGAAATGTTTACACAAATGTCCATGTTTCCAGTTTTCATTCTTCCTGGAAAGTATACTGTCTGCACCTTAGGGGAGCTGCTCTAAATACATATTATCTTGTGGTTTTTAAATGATCTGCTTTTGTAAAGCATTGCTTGTAAACTATTAGGTTTTGTTCATCATCAAGATACCGTGCACTTAAAATAATACATGTATACGCCGTTTATCTAATGACATGTTTGACTGTAGGTGATGACTTGTTCAGTGGACTGATGGACGCGTGTCAGGACTCCCTTACAGGCTGTACATTACATCTTTTCAAAAGGAAATTAAATTACTGATACTTTTAAAATGGGCTGGTGTGTTGGTTATGAATTAGAATGTGTTTAGGTGAACATAAAGTCTATAAAGAAACCACATAATGCATTATCATCAGTGCCAAAGCAATCCCTACAGGGTGGCAAGACTACAAGCTTTACTTCCATAATTGAGAACCCGTTTTATGTGGAGTGGACCCAGGCACACCTCAACAAAGACACGCCTTTATGCTATCCCGGCTCCCAAATGGTGGAAGGAGCCTCCCACTGATATAAGGACAGTCTACACATCTTCCGTCGCAGACTGAAGAGTCACCTGATTTGCTTGTCCAAAAAAATAATATCATCACTTGAGAGTTCAACCTATGCAGCAGCACTTACAATTGTCTTGCATGTTTGAAGGGAATGTTTCAGCACTTTTCTAGTTGTTCTGAGTTTGAAGCTTTATGGTTTATTCCAATATCTCTCCGTTGTATTCAGATATAGAACTTGGCCCAGTGTTGGTTGAACGAGAATACAAACTCAAAAATCCTGAGCAGATGCTTTATTTTAAAACATGTGCAAATTAAAGTTTTACACATGTGAACTGAAGGAATGGACAAAAAAATAATAATTATGGAAAATAATTTAAAAGACTGGCTGTCTACATGATGTGGTCTGCCTCACACAGGGTGACTGGCTGTCTACATGATGTGGTCTGCCTCACACAGGGTGACTGGCTGTCTACATGATGTGGTCTGCCTCACACAGGGTGACTGGCTGTCTACATGATGTGGTCTGCCTCACACAGGGTGACTGGCTGTCTACATGATGTGGTCTGCCTCACACAGGGTGACTGGCTGTCTACATGATGTGGTCTGCCTCACACAGGGTGACTGGCTGTCTACATGATGTGGTCTGCCTCACACAGGGTGACTGGCTGTCTACATGATGTGGTCTGCCTCACACAGGGGGACTGGCTGTCTACATGATGTGGTCTGCCTCACACAGGGGGACTGGCTGTCTACATGATGTGGTCTGCCTCACAGGGTGACTGGCTGTCTACATGATGTGGTCTGCCTCACACAGGGGGACTGGCTGTCTACATGATGTGGTCCTGCCTCACACAGGGTGACTGGCTGTCTACATGATGTGGTCTGCCTCACACAGGGTGACTGGCTGTCTACATGATGTGGTCTGCCTCACACAGGGGGACTGGCTGTCTACATGATGTGGTCTGCCTCACACAGGGAGACTGGCTGTCTACATGATGTGGTCTGCCTCACACAGGGTGACTGGCTGTCTACATGATGTGGTCTGCCTCACACAGGGGGACTGGCTGTCTACATGATGTGGTCTGCCTCACACAGGGTGACTGGCTGTCTACATGATGTGGTCTGCCTCACACAGGGTCACTGGTTGTCTACATGATGTGGTCTGCCTCACACAGGGTGACTGGCTGTCTACATGATGTGGTCTGCCTCACACAGGGTGACTGGCTGTCTACATGATGTGGTCTGCCTCACACAGGGTGACTGGCTGTCTACATGATGTGGTCTGCCTCACACAGGGTGACTGGCTGTCTACATGATGTGGTCTGCCTCACACAGGGTCACTGGTTGTCTACATGATGTGGTCTGCCTCATACCGGGGGACTGGCTGTCTACATGATGTGGTCTGCCTCACACAGGGTGACTGGCTGTCTACATGATGTGGTCTGCCTCACAGGGTGACTGGCTGTCTACATGATGTGGTCTGCCTCACACAGGGTGACTGGCTGTCTACATGATGTGGTCTGCCTCACACAGGGAGACTGGCTGTCTACATGATGTGGTCTGCCTCACACAGGGTGACTGGCTGTCTACCTGATGTGGTCTGCCTCACACAGGGTGACTGGCTGTCTACATGATGTGGTCTGCCTCACACAGGGTGACTGGCTGTCTACATGATGTGGTCTGCCTCACACAGGGTGACTGGCTGTCTACATGATGTGGTCTGCCTCACCAACCCAGTCTCACGGCATTTCGTGTTCACCAACACGATTTGCCCCTTTTTTTCGTGTTGCACAGCACGATTTTAAAAGCAATGTATTTCTACTGCCTGCAGCACGTCTTTTTCTCCGGTCGGGTCGAGGAAGACCGGAAGCTGTGTGGTTCATAAAAACATGTTCTTACTCAATATCAAGCCACAATTATTGCTTTTATTTGAAATCGTATAATTTCTGACTTTTGTTGCCGTCTGTGAGGAAAATAAATGGCTCAGAGCCTCAGGATACTGAAATCTGTATTTTTAAATATTTTTTTCCTTCTAATTCGTTATTCTTTTCAAAATAACACACTGTTATTTACTCACCAATAACACACAATTATCCTTGCTTTTATTTATTGGTTTAATTCCATAATCTCGGGCTTTTTTGGCATCCGTCAGGAACTGAATTTCAAAATAAAAATAACCGGAAACAGACGTAGGCTTATAAGGGACATTTCGAGCATCATTGCGATTGTCAACATTTCTGAATTTAGGATGGCCGAAGACACTACACTACCCATAATCCCCAGCTATCGTTTAGGACTACAGTCCCCGTAAGGTTACGCAGAGCGTCAAACAGCTGTGTGAAATGGAACGAAACCACGGCAGACTATCCAAAACTGGAATCGAACGCCCCCCCAGAACTACACATGCTGGCTATTGTGTTTCGCTAAATGTTCTATGGGACGTCTCTACTGAACGTTTTCGTTTTTCCCACAATTAGAAGTTGCCAGTATTAAACACATTGGTGTTATCAAATGTAAAACATATAATTAATAAATGGGTGAAAATCGCTTGTGTCCATAATGCGCAGCATTAATACCCACATGACAGCTCATTGTTACTTTGTAATTCTACTCCACTACAATTCAGAGGTTAACCTGGTATTTTTACTCCACTGCATTTATTTGAGTTACTTTGCAGATTCTGATTAATTATGTGAAATATAAACAACCCTTAAATCAGACTTTAGTAACACCTGAGTAAAATTCAGGTAAGGTGATTGTCAAGTGCCAACAATCAGGAGAGATATTTGATAGTTGGTGCTTGAGAAGACTAAACATTTATCTGCAGATCTCTATAAAGTATATTCATTACTCGTTATTCTCTACTAATAGTTACTTAAAGACTGTATATTATGGCTATTTTGCACATCCCTTTCAAGTTTTTCAAAGGTTTATTGACATATCATATACACAACTACGGTGTAGTTATGCAATGAATGAAACACTTGGGTCACAGGTTCCTCAACAGTGCATTACAAGACATCTATCAATATGTGTGTACCTCCACCATTAAACTGTCATATTCTGCACATTTATTATTCTATCTACATAAGAGTATAATTCATATGTATAATATCAGTTAAAATAAGTGCTTCAACATAGTTAACATTGCAGGAAAGCAATATATTAGACGTTAAGTACTTTGTCAGGCTTAATATTTATCTGTAGATAGATACCCCCAAAGTGTTTTTCCTATTTAAAAGAAGACCTTAATCTGTTATTTAATGTTTAAATAAAGGTTAATTCGTTTTTCTGTTTTGCACCTCCTCCTATTAATATCTTTGTACATTCTGCACTAAACTGTTTTATTGTAGAGATCACTTATAGTATCTTCTTGATTTTTTATATTCTATATTTCTATATTTATACTTTCCCCCTATGAAAGTATGTACTCTTAATATTTTTTTAATCAAATAAAACACAATAATTCAATAACGTGCTTTAACCACTAGGCGGTGCACACAAGGTACACACAGCCATAATAACTTTGTATTATTAGTGTAGGACACTTTTGTTTTCGTACAACATCTGAAAATGTGTAGTTTTATGCATGCTTTCACATAATTTTACAGCATATTGCTATAATATTTCAGACTCAGTATTTGTATTGTGTGAAGAGAAATTGAAGATGTTGTTTAATTGTTGAATATATTTATGATCCACGTCAAGTATTCAGTTTCGGCGGCATTTTCTCAGTTTTTCCAAAGGTCTTCTCATCAGGGCTCTATAAATAAAGAACTACGGCAGATCTGTAATATACAATGCAGCCGAACCGTGTATTACAATGCCGTTATGTGATGACTTTCAAAGAGAAAAGCAAGAGCACTCGGAATTAAGTATTCTTTAATTCTTTTAAAATGTTTTCCGGATTTCATATCATATAAACACCAAATCCCAGCATGCATTGCGGCAAAAACATCCAATAAGCGAGCTTAAAACCATAGCTGAGGATCTTGGGTAATCGCTCGAAATGCCTACGTCTGTTTCCGGTTATTTTTATTTTGAAATTCAGTTCCTGACGGACGCCAAAAAAGCCCGAGATTATGGAATTAAACCAATAAATAAAAGCAAGGATAATTGTGTGTTATTGGTGAGTAAATAACAGTGTGTTATTTTGAAAAGAATAACAAATTAGAAGGACATTTTTTTTTTCAAATACAGATTTCAGTATCCTGAGGCTCTGAGCCCCATTTATTTTCCTCACAGACGGCAACAAAAGTCCGAAATTATACGGTTTCAAATAAAAGCAATAATTGTGGCTTGATATTGAGTAAGAACATGTTTTTATGAACCACACAGCTTCCGGTCTTCCTCGACCCGACCGGAGAAAAAGACGTGCTGCAGGCAGTAGAAATACATTGCTTTTAAAATCGTGCTGTGCAACACGAAAAAAAGGGGCAAATCGTGTTGGTGAACACGAATCAATA